CGGCTCGTGAAGCTGCGATGTACGGAGGGTTGCTGTCGAAAGTGCTCCATCACGCCTGCGCGCGTGCCGTACCTTGAATAAGGAACGTAGTGCAATTCATATTTCTCGCTAATTGATCTCTCGGTTTAGCAAGGGCGTTCTGATCGCGCGATAAACATAAAGTCTGATAATGCCCGACAATATTCTGTCCGTCGGAGAGACATGGGTATTGGTGCATCGCTCCGCTTCACGGCCCGAAGGGCAGCGTATCGAGGTCCTAGACGTCGGGCCTTTTCTGGTTCCGATTCCGACTCGGTCGTGAACGGTCGGCCCGATTAACGACTCTGTGTGTGTGCACAGTAGTAAAACGCTCGGCGCAATTCTCCGTCACAAATATTGGACCGCCCTCTGTTGGACGCACGCAAATCGTGGCTGAATCGGCGTGCTGCTAAACCGTCCGATTTGACGGATCTCGTACAGGGAACTCGTTTACACTTGTTGCCCCGAAGCTCCGAAGGTCACTCTGCCGCTGATTAAGAATCTATGCCCATGCGAGGCTTCCACTACTACACTGAACACGCGCGGACTCGGTTGTCCAGCAGGCAAAAGAGCTGTTTTCTTCTGTTTTTACAAACTTGCCACTTCATGGCTGTCAGATCCACCAGCGTGTGACAGACTAAGGCTGAACGAAACAGGCTCGTGGCATCGGGTCGAATTCTTGACATTGTTCGTGGAAGAAATACTGCTCTTCGGAAATCTCGTCAACCCCTTAATCTTGATCCTTTTTCCCCGCCGTTTTTCTCGTCTCCGTCGGCGATTTCGTCGCCAACACTGCTCCTGCTCTTTCTCCCGCCGAGGCATCGCCCAAAGAGGCAAACAACTTACCTTAGTGGTAAATCTAGAAAATTACATTCCGTCGCTTAGCGGCACAGATTAAGGACGACGAGCCTGTCGCGGTTGTTACCCGCCGCCGCGCCGCCGCCGCAGCCTCCGTCGTCGCTTTCGCGGAAGCGCGGGCGGCACCAGGGGTGCAGGCTGGCCATACATTACTTTGATAGCTGACTGAGGGAGAAAGTGCGCGGTTCCTATGGTGCGGATAAACCGTAGGTCAAAGTCTCCGTCACCTGAACGGGCCTATGAACGAAGCGAACTCGACCGAGTCACTTGGACATAAACGCGGGATACAGCTAGTCAGCACCGGAAGGGCGCCCGTGCTGGCCGAGCTGAAGTCAGCGTCAGGCTTGACTGGGTGAATCGCATTTTCATTAGAATTTATTGCTGCTCCGTATATCTGGCTTCTCGGACCCGTGGAAAGACAGATGAATGCGTTTTGTCCACAGAAACCATCTCAGAAGTCGGGCTGATACAGACGCCTGAAAGACGCGCGAACGACTCGGGACCGGTGGATCGATTTAGAGAAGAGAGAATTTCCAGTCTCTTCACTGGATGGAAAAAGGGAGCGGGAAGATTCTCTTGCGAACTTTAGTCGCGATTGAAAAAGAGAAGGAGAGGGATATAAATTCCCCCGTCCTGAGACGAGAAAAAAAGGAAGAGAAACGTGTTCTCGACTACTGCTGCCGAGGCCGGAGAACGACCGAATTCCCGCAGTCGCGAGAAATCAAGAGCTCCAGAGGAATGCTCGAGACAGCCAGACGGTGCCGCATGCTTCTCTGTTATTGCACACTCCACACGTTCTGCTAATGAGCGCAATTCCGACAATGATTTGCAGAATCGCACGAATATTCCGTGCAGGGAAACGAACCAGCCGAAGACCGTCGTTCATTTCTCCAAAATCTCAGCTAATCATCTGCGGAATTCTCGTCTGCATCCAGGTAAGTGATTTTTCGGAGCGTTCCTTCTCCTTCCGTCCCGAAACGAGTTTTTCCCTTGCCGTCCTCCGGAGCCTCCTAATCGTCCAAAACCTTTCCCCCGTGGATCGGGTTCTGCGGAGGATCCGAAATCGATGAGGGTGTGATTTACAGAGGCGTCGTCGCTCGGTCCTTCGAGAGCTATGTTTTTCAGGTGCTCGTAACTGCAGTTTGGCTACTATTCAGTCCACCGAAGGCTGTGAAACACTACCCCACGCGTGAGCAGAGCCAACTTCTCTGCCAAGCAAGCCTCGGTGAGTAGGTGTTGGAGATATAGTTTCTTGTAATATTGTGGCGTCTTCAGATTGACCGCCTTTCCCCCTCTCTTACGCCAGAGAGCATTCGGTGTCATCATAATAAAGCAGACAGAGTCTCTCAAGATCTCCAAGGAAGCTGACGTATTTCTTGGCGAACATGGCGCAGCCGAGAAAAAACGAGTGAACGACAGAAAATCATACGTGATCAAAGAAGGAAGACTCTCAAAAAAGCAAAGATGGAAGACGACAAGAAAACGTCGCGAAGACCGGGCCCATTCAGGATGATCCAAGGCGCGGACAACAGTGAATCGTGGAAGGACTTCAAGGAAGCCTTCAGTGACTATGCCCTCGTCGAAGATCTCTACGAGCAGTGCCCAAGGAAGCAAATAGCAATCTTCAGAGCCTGTTTCGGTGATCACAACCGACAGTTTTTGCGTAGTTTGAATCTGGGAGAAATTCAAGCCGACGACGGTACGACGGATGACGACTCTCCCTGTGACACGCTCGCTAAGATGATCGGGAAATTGGACGAAATATTCGCGCCCCACGAAAACATTTATTTCCGCCGGCATCAATTCTCAAAAATCAAACAAAGTGCAAGTGAATCGGTGACGGACTTCGTCAATCGCATTATGAAAGCGGTCAAGCCCTGCAAGTTCACATCAGAATCTGAGATGATCATCAACCAACTCATAAGCGGCACAAGTCTTGAGGTTGCGCGAAGAATCATATTTGAGGCGGATATCAACAAAGAATGGACCATCGAGAAAATCGTCGCCACAATGAAGCAAACCGAAGCAAACAACGAACAGTTACCGGCGTTTCGAAACGCAGAGATGGCAAGTGAGGACAAGATTCAACAACTGGCAAGCAAAAGCTTCGGGAACAGACCAAAATACATGCAGCGAAGACAGCCATTCAAGCAGCGGAAACGCGAAGCAGCATATTCGGCCCCGACCAGAAATGCTTGCACATTCTGTGGCAGCCAATACCCGCCAAGGAGATGCCCCGCGTACAATCATCGATGCCAAAAATGCAAAAAACTCAATCATTTCGAGCTCGTGTGCAAATCAAGCAAATTCCAACAACAACTCCACCTATTAGAAGGAGATGATCAAACCGAAAACGACTTCGAGTACTCGGAGGGAATCGAAGACCACAGTTCAGACTTCGACATCTTCGCAATCCGAGAGGGAAAAGCAGAGAGAGCTCCGGGAAACAAATTCTTCGCATCTCTTGGACTAGCCAGCAACGCAAAGCTCCGAGTCCAAATCGATTCGGGAGCCACAATTTCGGCTATGAGCTTCGAAACTTATAAGAAAGTCTTGAAGGCCAATGGAGTGGCCGAAGCTTTGGACAAGGGGCAAGCAATCTCTCTCAAAGTATACAATAATATGTACGAAACTTCAATGGGCAAATTCATCCTGAATTGCGAGTTCGACAGTCGTAAATATCGAATCCCGTTCCATGTAATCAAAAACAACGTCGACACGGTTCTTTCCGGGATAACGGCATTTCGAATGAACATCATCAAGTTTCATCGAAGAGTGGAATCTGCCTTCAAGATAGACTCGACGGGTTCGGCTAAAGCAAAGATACTAGAAGAATACAAGGACATCTTCAAAGGGCTCGGATGCATGAAGCCCTCGGTCAGAATCGAGATCGATCCGACAGCTAAACCGCTACAAGCAGCTCCAAGACGACCCGCAGTCGCTACGAGGGAGGCTTTCATTAAACGCATCAAGCTCATGGAAAAGGACGGCATAATTGAGAAGGTGAATTACCCAACAGATTGGATCTCCAACGCCGTGGTCGTGTCCAAATCAGATGGAAGCGTAACGAGTAACCCTCGACCCATCAGAACTCAACAAGGCTATCAGACGCCCACGATACACAATGCCAACTCTGGAAGACCACTCCCCATGCTGTCCCAGGCGAGATGGTTTACCATATGCGACGCGAAAGATGGGTTTTTCCAACTGCCATTGCACCATGATGCACGGATCTAACGACCTTTTGGACTCCCATAGGCAGATACAAATACCTTCGAATGCCGCAAGGCATATCGTCGGCTCCGGAAGAATATCAGCAGAGACAGGTCACCGCATATGATGGACTCAAAGGCTGCTTGGTCGTCGCCGACGACACTCTGGTTTATGGTGTCGGAAAGACTGACCAAGAGGCCAAGGAGGACCATGATCGCAACCTGAAGAACCTATTTCAACGAGCCAGAGAAGTTGGTCTAAAATTCAACCCCAGCAAGCTTCAATACTGCCTCAGAGAGGTCCGCTATATGGGACATCTGATCTCCAGCGACGGGGTAAAATCAGACCCGGCGAAAGTAAAGGCAATTCTAGAAATGAGACAACCCCAGGATACAAAAGCAGTAGAGCGTTTTCTCGGAATGGTTAATTACCATCTCCCATTCATACCCCACTTGTCTGAACTCACCGCCCCTCTACGGGACACAATCAAGAAAGGCAACCATTTCGTTTGGATGTCAGCTCAAGAAGAAGCGTTCGCCAAGATCAAAGAGAAACTGGCGAAATCACCAACGCTGGCCTACTTCGACGTGAAAAAACCTGTCACCATACAAACGGACAGTTCAGATTTGGGTGTCGGTGCTACAAGACAACAAGCCCATCAACTACTTCTCGCACGCTCTCTCGGAAACGGAAAAAGGATACGTAGCGATGGAAAAAGAGGCCCTGGCTATCATGACTAGTTGTCTCCGATGGGATCATCTGTTGTACGGCAAGGAGGACATCACAATCGAGACGGATCACAAGCCGTTGGTGCGCATTTTCGAGAAACCGCTCGAGAAATGCCCGAAACGATTGCAGCGGATGCGTCTCGCCCTACAACGATACAACCTGAAACTCAAATACATTCCAGGAGTCACGAACGTCATCGCTGACACCCTTAGTCGCGCACCGTTACAAGATTATTCAGACTCAACAACCAAAGAGTCACTCTATCGGCTGGAGCTAGGCGCAATCAAGATCGTTGACGGTACCGAGATCTCTGATCCGGTTCTGGAGGAAATCCGTCGCCACACTAAAGAAGACCCAGAATGCCTGCGCCTGATTCGCTCCATACAAGAAAACAAACCGGTCGACGGAGTTCTCGGTTCAGTCAAAGACGACCTTCGGGTGGACGACAGCATCATCTTCATAGGGCAGGCGTGCTTCATTCCTAAAAGTTTGAGGAAGGACATGCTACGGAGATGCCACAGGTCCCATCTAGGTTTCGAAGCCACATTCCGTCGGGCCCAACACGTGGTAGCTTGGCCAGGCATGAGAAATGATATCAAAACGATGGTTGAGGCTTGCCAATCGTGCCAAACGTTTTCCACCAAACAACCCAAAGAAAAACTCATCAACGGCGAAATTCCTAAACATCCATGGGACATCATTCACCAAGACCTCTTCGACTGGCAAGGGCAACAATATGTGGTCACCGTAGACGGCTACAGCGACTATTTCCACATAACGAAATTAGGCCGTACAGCGACCACAAACCACGTTATCGATGTCACGAAGAAACTCTTCGCGGAGTATGGGCGGCCAAGGAAGTTCAGGACAGACAGCGACCCCAGATACCTTTCCGGAGCTTTCCAAGAATTTCTCAAACAATGGAAAGTTCAGCACGAACGGAGTTCACCACATTTCCATTCAAGCAATGGAAAGGCAGAATCAGCTGTCAAGGTTGCGAAACGATTGGTCAAGAAAACCACGCTCGAACTATCGGACCTCGAGCCAGCGCTCCTGGAGTGGCGAAACACTCCTCAGCGAGATGGGCTGTCGCCGGCGCAGAAATTTCTCTGTCGACAGACTCGATCTCTACTACCGCTCCAAGCGGCCGCTCTCCTTCCCAAGTACCGAAACATGTTCAACAACACATAAGACAGCGGAGAGCGGAACAGAAAATTCAGCACGACAAAGGGGCCACGAATCTTCCACCGCTCCTAGTTGGAGACTCGGTTCGAATCCAACCCCTAAGTTTCGAGAAAACATGGGAGTCAGGAACAATAACTGAAGTTCTAAATCATCGAACGTATAACGTACGCCAGCGTAACGGCAACGTGGTCATCAGGAACCGACGCCTCCTGAGGAAAGTTCCGAATCAGATTTCAGGCAACGAAGTCATATCCAATCCGCGGACAACAAATCGAGAAGTCGCAGTCAAACCACTAACTTTCTGTATCCCATTCCCAAAGTTGCGGAAACGGAAAAACAAAGCAAATCAGAAAGAAAAGAATGCGACAGAAGAAAACGCACCCAAGTTCATCGCAGAAAGCTTCAACACCATCCGCGAACAAGAGAGCGAGAGCTCCGAATCAGCAACGGAGGAAAGCCCCAGTAGATCAAGAGAAGAAAACAACGCCGACGAATTCATGACAATCAGCGACCCAATCGAGACTATAGAGCAGGACGAGAACACAGTTGCAGATCACAGCATGGCTGAAATCACAGCCGGCCAACATGAGGAGCCCGAACCCATGGATCAGTACGACATCGAACATCGACCGACAACCAGCACGGGCAAGAGGAAACATCTGCTGACGCCGGCAGCGACACCCGTCTCAATCAAGAAAATCAAGAAGGCGAAAACCCTTAATCAACCGATCACCACAAGGAGCGGCCGCGTTATAATGGCTCCAAGGAAATTAATGTTGTAAGAATGACACGTATCAAATCGTCCAAATATTCAGCAAGTTGTGGAACTAGTCGAAGGTCAATCGTGCAATAATTCTATAGATTTAGTTGATACAGGAGGAAAAGGTGGGAGATGTTGGAGATATAGTTTCTTGTAATATTGTGGCGTCTTCAGATTGACCGCCTTTCCCCCTCTCTTACGCCAGAGAGCATTCGGTGTCATCATAATAAAGCAGACAGAGTCTCTCAAGATCTCCAAGGAAGCTGACGTATTTCTTGGCGAACAGTAGGTCTTGGCGAGGGATGCGAATTTCATTCCGGACGGGTCGATGATAGCAGTAGATCGAGGACGAACAAGAATGTCAATATACATCCCACGAACTTGACGTGCGGTGGAGACAGGCGAGCTTTTTTGCGTGAATGTGTGGGCGCGCCCCCGAGCGCTCGCCTTCGCCTCGCCATCATTGAAGATGCGAGAAAGTCACCGCCGAAAGTCTTGTCGCTCGCCTTCGACTGCGTTCGGCGTCAATGACACGCGAGCTTATACAGCTAATGGCTTAGTGAGGCAAGCCTGCATGCCGATGGTAATTGGCAACATGAGTCGACGGCGGCGGCGAGCGTAGTCGATAGCGAGTCCGGTCAAAGACAAGAGTGTTTACTTAGCGTACTTGTTCAGACACGAGACCTCGCGGAGACGGGCCCACGATTGATGTCGCTGCCAAGGACGTCAACACCTGGTCTAGAAATGAACACATTGCCGTCTCGGTCTTCCAGCACCGGACCCTCTCGCGGCGGTGCTGTGTTGAGCCTCAACACCCACGTCGATTGCGCGCGACTCGAGACGAAAAGTTTCGCGAAAGTTTCCTCGGGAGAAATCCGTCGTGCACATTTTTTCCCGCTAGCCCGAGAGGCTCCGCATCGGATCCGCTGTGTTGGTGGCGTGGTCATTAGTTTAGATATCGACTTACGAGCTCTATTTTCTCTTCCTCCGTCCAGGCTCGTCGTACGTCGTCTCGTTCGCCTACCCCGTGATGCTGGTTTGCGTGTGCACAGCGTACGCGGTCATCACACGAAAAATACCTGAAGCCTTCAACGAATCCAAGTATATCGGCTTCACCATGTATACGACGTGCATTATTTGGCTGTCATTCATTCCTCTCTACCTCACGACATCGTCCCAGCTGGCGATAGGGGTGACTGTGATGTGTGTTTCAATCTCGTTGTCAGCGACAGTAACCCTGGTGTGCATGTTCGCACCCAAACTGTGTATCATCCTTCTGCATCCCGAGAAGAACGTCCGTCAGCCCGTCGGTTAGTAGCATTCTCTCACCTCTCATATGTACCTCCTATTTTCCTTTTTTCCGTCGCCATGAGCTCGGTCCTCTCACTCGGCCTTGCCAATGAGTTTTCGGGACAGTGGGCTGTAACCGTTTGCCTTGCGCAATCGACCCTCCGGGCCCCGGTGATAGTCCTCTTGGTGAACGAGCTGACCATCGAACTCGAACGGCGGAACCCGGAGGTCCATATGCTTTTTCTCGTTATCCCTTTTCCAGTGAAGCACTATTCCGGAACGCGCCGGAATTCAGAAATTCACTTCTAGAGCTGCGAAACTTCTTCACTATTGCGGAGTCCGCGGGAGCATCACAGTAACTCAAAGAGCTGCCCTCCATTACAGGAATGATTCAGAACAATCGTTACGGAGCTCTGAGGTCGATGCAGAGACGCCACGTCGAATGTGCGACGCAGTCCGACGATCTCGAACTCGGGGTCACAGTTATGGCGAAGTCGGCGGTTTCGCTGGCCTCGAGTTGTGCCGCCACTCAAACGGAGGAAGAAGGCGAGGAAGCCGAAGAGACGGATCGTCTTTGGAGACAGAACGGAATCGGTGGTGACGTTCAGTTATGATCTCTCCAGCCATAGTTCACGGCTGTACTTCTTGTTTCATTGCCGATCCAATCCAGAGCGGGAGCGGGTGAGGAAAAGTCCTCCCTCGACTTTCCCCTCCGAACGCTGGATAGGGGACTTGCGTCACTACCGAAAACTACCGGAGAGTGCTTACCACGGTGATACATTTGTCGAATCGCATCATGTAGAGATCTATTGTGGTGAAATTTTCACTGTTTAATGTTAACACACTTACATTTGGATCGTTGTTGAGAAACGAAAGCTTGTCAACTGAGCTAGGGTGACAGGGGAGCGAAGAGGCGGAGCCCTAGACCATACGAGTATGTGTGTATGTATGTATATGTTTTGGTAAAATAGTGTTCACGTACTGCGTGATGTATGAGAGCGTCGCGTCGTCGTTGTGAGCGAGTTTCCGGAGTCAGTGAATGTAAATTGTGATCATTCCGCCACTCACACCTCGGAGAAGCACTGCCGCCGCGTCGGAGCTTGGCATTGATGGAGTGGCCACACCGAAATAACCCAGTCTAGCTCAAAAGTCAAACTTTATCGGTGTCGATTTTGTGTTTGTCCCCGAGGCTCCCCGTTCAAACTTCGCCGAGCGTTACGGAAGTCGCCCGAGCCCTCGTTCAACAACAATGAGGAGGACCTGCGAGACGCAAAAACAAAGTTACTTCTCTCTGAGCTACAATACTCTCTTAGCTGCGCGCGTTCTCTTGACTTGAGTGAGTACTCCGCCTGCCGTCGCTCTCAATCGAGGAGCTTCACGAATCAAAAGTATCAATCTAGAGCTCAGTGGGATCAAGTGCGTTCTGAGAAAAGCGTGATGCCGATGACTTCAATCACGGGGTATAGCTGGGTTCGTTTTCTCAAGAGTTCTGTTCAGCGTCGACAGCGTGACCCGATGCCACAAGCTCCTCCTGGGAACCGCATCGAGTCACGCTTCATCATGGACCATTCTAATCGAGCCCCGGTCGCGTTGGCAAAATGGTGAGGAAAAAACACAGGGGGAATTCCGATGCAATGCCTAGATTCTCCAATGCGCTATTCACTTGTTCAGCTGTTGTCGAGCACAGTTGGCAACACGGACGTGAGACAGTTGCTTTCATGAGTCGCTTGCCCGGTCTTGTGTCATGTAGCTTTTTTCAATCCTATAAGGCGAGCCCGTACATTTCGCTGGAGTTGGGATCATACAATCGGAGTCCAAGAGCGAGCTCAGGGCTCATCACTGAGAATGCGAGCAGAAATCGGTATCGGCGGCTTCGTTTACTGGAATGAGAGTGGATCCGCCGAGCTGAACGCCTGCAAAAATTCCGTCTCCACATTATTATTTGTAATCATAGCTTGAATCGTAATCCTGGTTGTCCCTTATCCCTGGTCGAGCTCTTTTCCCACTTGGAGGATCCATTCCGGGAAGCGGCCGAAATTAAGAGATTGTAGGCGATTTCTCCAGGAAAATTCATGGACTCCAGGACTATGACTCGAGGCATTCGGGAGTGGATCAGCTTAGCAGAGCGCGCCCCTGCGCCATAATTTTCGGAGAGATCTCGCGAATCGATGATCCGAAGGTCTCAGAGTGCGGATACGAACATCCGGCTCGAGAAGTCTGAAATGACGCAGGCGAGAAGTCAGCATTGGTGATCCGAGCCTCGTCCGTGACGTTGGTTTCCTTGGCAGTTTCTTCACGTTGGTGGAGGAGGCGTGAGTCAGTGTCATCGCGCAAATAGAAAATACATCTGACCGTACGGCGCAAAGTGGACGATCTGCTCAGCTCGGTGGACAGCGGGCCCAGCCGTCGACGAGAGTCTGTACCGCCGCTATTGATGTCATGTCATTTTTCCGCTGAAACTGTCTTGCAATTCGCCCAGAGTGGGTCTTAACATGATTAGACATCATTGAGAAAATGATCCTCCGGCCGAGAAACCCTGCCTCTCCTTCCGAGTGATCGACGTCGGCAGTTTCCGTACATGTCCACCGACATCAATATCGGAATCGCTTTTTGCTCCGGAGTGCTGGGCCAATGCGTGTCTTGCCGATTGAATTCAGAATTTTTCCTCCTCGGACCGCTTCGCTTCTCGTACCGATCACATTATGCGAATCCCCGAATCCCTCAGATAAGGGAGGACGAGTAGATTGATACCGTGGAGGCCATTCGACACGGGACCCTTGGGCTGCGACCCATAGACGGAACGGGCAACGTGGGCGCGTAATGAGAGGCGCTGAGCTCCTCGATTGGAGACCTCCTCGAGACAAAACCTCGCTCGTGTCTATGTCGCTCGATACCCACCCCAACTATGGATCGATGGTCTCGTGCTGGGATGTCACGGAACGCGATATCTGCATCAGTCGTCCCGGACCATAACTCCATCCATTTGTTAGAATTCAGGACGGGGAGGACGCCCAGCCGGTGGAGCGATGTCACTGAATGATTCCGCGTAGAGTAGAGGTGCTTTATCGCTGGACTTCAATTCACGCTTATTGCTGACTGACCAATGCTTGTTTGTCGGTGCTCTCTGAACATTGAATGTTGACTCCCTCGTGATTCGCTGCTCCTAGCACGCTCGGTTCTCGTGGCTCCGGTGCAATCGTGGTCACGGATGAGCTGTCGTCGTGATTATCGTTTACTGCGACCTACCGTGACCACGGCTAGTCGGGCAAGATCGTAGGAGTCAGAATCCTTCGATCGTGCGCTGACTTCGGAACGGGGAATTCTAGGCTAAATGTGTTATTAAGGAAGTTTATGGCTATGACCTTCTAGTATTACCACTACCTCTACTACATAGAACAACAACTACTATTATGTACTACCACCGACTGGTCATTTACACCGAATATGAAATGACACAGGTAAAAGATTACAGCTACAACGGTTGACATTCTCGTCTTCTGTGTCAGCACGCTCTTTAACACATAATATTTCATTATCGATGAACTTAGGCAACCAACTAAACAACATTGAAACCGTGCGCCTTGTATACCTTGACTCACTCGAAAATCGCTGCCGACTCCGCTCGGCCAACTCATCTTGATACTCGAGACGACGATAACGATGGGAGGGGATCAGAACCAAAAAGGTCTCAATGAGAAGGTCTGAATACAGGCTTCCTCAGTATTCAGAGTTATCTCCAGAATTTAGCAACTTTGTCTCTTAATTGAGCGAGTCTTCGTGACCGTGATAGCTGTGCGAAAGAGAGGTCCAAGTCTCCGCATCATACGACGATGACGTAATGGTCGTCCCAACCGCTTCGAGACGTAAACCCCCGGAAATGCGGAGATGGAGTGAGCGTGACTGAGTGACTGGCTGGCTGACTTGTTGTTGATTGTTTGATTTTTCTCCGATGGGCGGGATGGAACAATGCTTTGGTTGAATACAATTATTACGATAATAATAATAATAATTATTATATATATTATTGATAAGTCCTATCAGAGCTATCCAGTTGATATCAGAACTGGTGTCGAACAGAGAGAGGAAAAGAGATACTTCTCACCGGAAGAAGATACGGCGCCATGTTCGAGATAATGGAGTCTACGATCTAACCTCGTGCAGTTAGACGGGCTCTCAATCGACTGGTAATCGAATAGTACAAAACTTGCATGACCAGTGAGTCCACCGAATGGAAGAGTTGTTTAATAAAAGAAACTCGACAAGAAATCATTCGAGCGTATCGCATTCTTATCGTTCCAAGTCCAAGTCCATAATGGAATATCCAGAGTGGTAAAGTTCCCGATCGATTTCTATCAAGTCCTATCTTTTCGCATCTCGATTCGTCAGTCGCTCCCGCGGTCATTCCATCGTTCGGAGGCGGTGCACCTCGGATGGAGACCGCTGGGAAATTCAAGTTCGAAGCTCGACACAGCTGCCGGGACCGCGAGTGCGACCGCTGACTCAGTTGAGAGAGTATTCCGTCGGTGGTCGAATCCAGGATCGACACTGAGGCCTTCGGTCGGGGAATAATGGTGCGGTGTCCGAGAACACCTGGGAAGGCATAGGCCGAGAAAAATGATACACAGGGTCAACACAATAGGGCCGTCATGGGACTCCCTCATATGAGATGATATTTGTTCGGAGCGCGTTAAGGTGTGTCTGTGTGTGCGTGTGTATGTATGTGAAGAAACATAAGAAGTCTGAACTTGAAGCGTGCTCACGGCGAGCCCATGTAGAAGGGCCGCTGACGGACTTTGATAGGACCATTCTACATAGTTACGTCCCCTTCCGAAGGTGCTGTGCCCTCCAGAAGGCGATGCGAACTCCTCTGGGATCGGACGAACTTACGGGGCCTCCGATCTCGAGCGAGGAAAAAAACGTCAACACTGATCGGACGGGGAGATCTTGTCTAGGATGCATTCCGTAGGACGAGAGAATCGCGAACAATAGCCAGATGATTTCGCACAAAATCACCTGGAATTCTTTTCTGCGAGAAGCGATTGCGGGGACCAAGTCATCTTGGAGAGAATTCTTCCTCGCTTGCCTTTACCATGGACTTTATTGAAAAATGGTTCTACCCGAAGCCTCGTTGCTCCCTCGATGGTCGATCGCAGCTCCCGACCAGCGAGAGGGTATTCTTGTTCGGGAAGTGGGTAGACTCGAGGTGGGATCCGATTCTTCGACGGTCTTTGCGGGATCCGATCGTCGATGTAAAGCTCAGCGGGAACGGGGGAACGTTTCGGAAACTCTTCGTCTGATATTCAAGTCAGACCTTGTGAGCTCTCGACAGGTTCCGTGAAATCAGAAATATGAGGCTGCCGAGAAGAAGCCTTGGGATGCGATATCCGATCAGTTTCCGATCGACCCCGCTATCCATCTCCTCTCTGGGAAGGCAGTTTCAAGTTCAGGGTATATTTCTCGCGTGGATTCATGTTCTCGCCCCAGCGTGTCCTCCATTCCTATCTTTCACGGGGTTCTATGAGGCGGTATTCGTTTCGGTCCCAGGCGTTCGTTCCGTACACGAGCCCTTGGGCGCGGTGTGCGCCATTCCCTCGCGGCATTGTAACTGGCATACCACTCCTGCGTGGCGCGGCGTTAATTGGCATGTATTCGACTTCAGCACTCGAGAGAGGAGTAGCTGAAATAACTCACGGAACATGGGCGAATCCATCGAACTTTGGAGTCCTCGGAAGGAGGAACG